GTTTCTGTTGGTTTCCGGCCGCCATGTTGGTGCCCATACGGATGGGCACCAGCATGGCGTCTCCATACAAATCTCTATAAATTTGGGAAAAAAATTTCTTCGCATATCTCGCATAAGAAAAATTCTTGTGAACCGAATTTTGGCGAGTGTCTTTGCATATTTAACTTCTTTCATTTCCCAGATTCTGGACTTTATCTATTGACCGGTTTTAATTGCGTGACACTGAAAACCAGCAATTGGCTGAAGCGCGCGAGCTCCGACAAATTGTCTTGGTCCACCGCACACTAGCCGACAAGGCCCGACAAGACGTTTTACGATCTAGCACTGTCAGATATCGTCCGACAAGCCCCGATCTTGTCGCAGACTTGTCTGAATTCAGCGCACACTAGCCGACAAGTGAAGATTTTTTGTCTGCCGACAAATAATCGGCTAATGTGCGGCGGCCTTTACACAGTAAATGGCTTCAAAGTGAGCTTTATATTTATTTGCATTCAAAATATCTATTCTAAACAAGCCTGAAAACATATGATGAAAGAGCTGCACAGGGCTCCTAAAATCGCCTTTAAAGCCCTGGGGAGATATTTGATCCATGTTTGGGCATTGGGGTGTCGCCGAGGATTTGAAATCCTGACGTAGCTTAGGACAACACTACCCTGTGCAGATAAACACTCTATTCTGAGTAGTTCTTTTTCATATCTTGTAAATCTGGCAAAATAAAATGGTTGATAGCTGTTGCTATTTGTCTGACTGAGACAAGGACATGATTGACAGATCCGTCTTCGCAATTCAGCTCGCTCAGTTCCGTACATTTTGAGCAATCATCCTCAGATTAGACTATCAAATTTTCAAAATGAATCCTGTTTGACTGATAATTTGTTGAATGATAGTAAAATCTCCTCAATCTTGGGGCTGTGTTACGCAGGTTTATTGTCGAATTGATCCACAGAAGGTCTTTTTACTCGATGCGCTTACGACTGGCCGCAGCAACGAGAGTACTGCGCACCGGCTAACGGCTTCGTCTCTGCGCTGTTCACATCGGCACCAGAAAATCATAAAGACAACTCAGGTAACGTCAAGAAATAATAATGAGACTGTCGAAAGAAAGCGGGGGGTGTGAAATAAGTGTGTGAAGCAATGGCATGACACTTGTCAACAACTACACAGGTGAGGCTGGTGAACATGGGTTTCTCTTCAAGATACCACAATAGCCGGATATGACACAGCAATACAATACAATAAACTTTATTTAAACACGGTGAGGAGTAAAGCTGCAAACTTGTGGGGCCGTGTAGAAAATAAAATTTAAAAGAGAAGTAAAATTATCCTATTAGAAAATAGCCCAAAGAAAATACGCGCGCTGATTTTTTTTGAGATTTCTATCGCGTATTAGTATAAATCTACTAGCGTCCTATCACGAATGCCGTTCTCTGATTGGCTCCGCCACTATTTATCTATTCTGCGATAGCTAGTGAGTAGCGTAGCAGTGTGCGCTTGTTGACAAAATGACGGCCGCTTCTTGACGTTTGGAGAAATATTGGTCGAGTTCTTTTTTTCGCGAAAATAAAAAAGATCTCGAAACACATTTCTCTAATACGGACAGAACTTCCTAGTTCAATATAATACTTCTTGTTATGGTTCTTTCTAACCTGTAGACAACCTGTAGTCCCTCTTTCGCTCAGTCCGTCATGCGTGAAAGAAAACCTCGAGGAAAATCGTGGGGGTGAGAAGCGCGCGAAAGTCGCGCGCTTCTCCCCAAAGGATTTCTAACGGCCATATTTTTCTCTCGCGGTTTTTCTCTCACGTCTCGCCGGACGGACTAAGGGAAAGACGGACTTCTCGTAGTCTTTCTAATCTAGCTGATAAATTGATCCAGTCTCGATAAACGCGCGCGCCAAAGGTAAACATTTATTTACGTTTCTCACTTCGCTTTTGTGAACGTTCAACTGAAATAGTTCTTCTAATTAAAACATAAAGGTAAACGGATTCTACTTGACAAAAAACTGTTTATTTTCCCTACACTTTTGATTTTAATTTTACTTTAAACTTAAACACTGGTAAATCTTAACAATAAAGTCTAATGGCCAGAAAAGCTGCGGTGCATCGAAACTAATGATGTAAAAAATCGAGTTAAAAAATTGTATTGTGTAGCTAATTATTCCTCTTGAATGGTAAGGTTCACAACTACTTTGAAGTATGAAAAATAGGCAAAAAAGATGAAAGCGTCTCTATTACAATAGCTAATGAAACAGCGAATGCTTTTCACTGTAAAACCGCATAATTACAAAACGTTAACGAAAGCTCGTGGAAAATAAGTTGTCATGAAATCTCCATTTTTAACAATCTAACATGGTAAAAGAATCATAAAGATGAGATAGTTACGTCTTTGATCTTCAGTTCCTGTTTTTTTTTTTTTTTTTTTTTTAAAAAGAAAAGCATGGAAACTTTGCTTTGCAAATTCTCACTGTTAATTGCGATGGCAGTGTAACGGTCAGCTCCACGCAGAAGGAGATTAAGAAATAAGACGTCGAACATGACTAACATGTGTATTAAACAAGAACGCCTGTGCACAACGAATATGTTCCAATGATCCACAAAATGACCCCTCTCTAGTCAATATCAAAGTTTTCTCCGCTTTACTGGTGTGCGAGTCGTTAACCGTTCACTTGAGCTTATGAACAGTCATGTTATGGCTTGATTAAGGAAAGTGGCCATGAGAATCTCTCATAAGGGTGGAGCAAATGGCTTTAGTTGTAGTTGTAAATGAATAATCTGAGAATAGCCTTCCTAATGTCCTTTTTTAGAAAGGCGTATGCAATTGGATTTGCTGCAACATTGATGATAAACATAAGATGAATTGCCCTATACAATGTGTGAGGAACAACGCATGTTGTGGTTATAAAGCAGTAACAAATGTAATTTCCTCCGGCGTAAGTGACATTGAACAGCGTAATAATCAAAATGGTCATGGCTGCTGCTCTCCTCTCGGGATGTCGCGTCTTCTTGATGACATTGATCTTTGGAAAAGCATAATTATAGCGAACTTGAGCTTCCAGTGCAGCGGTTTGGCGCTGAAGCTTGTTGGCGATGTAAATCAGAATGCAAGTGACCAACACAAAGACTATGGAGGGAATAACTTGAAACATAAAAACTCTGTTGATCTCAAATGTCGCGGTGAATGACTCATTTCCTTGGTAAGAAAAAGCAGACGGCAGGGTGAAGAATATCAATGGAGTAAGCCACGGCATACAAATCAGCAGACTCGGGCTTCTCCTTTCCATCAAAGAGGCATACTTGAGCGGTTTGACTACGGCAACAAAGCGATCCGCTGTTAGAACACACAGGTTCGCGGTAGAGCAGTACATAAAGGTATAGCATATCTTGTACCACAAACCAGCATGGCTAAGATCTATCATGTAGTAAAAGTTCGCGATAAACATGGGTGGTAAGAAGGTCAGCGCAGAACAAAAATCTGCAACTGCAAGCGACACAATGAGCCAGTTCGTCGTAGTGCGCGGAATCCGTTTGGAGATTACAAGGAAGATCACGAGGCCATTTCCAATCAGTGCTAAAGTGGTGAAGGACCAACCCAAATACCAAAACCACATGATGCTAGACATGATGAAGATCTGGATTTGCGATGAGACTAGTGGCGTGGTTTTTACTTGAGCAGTGCGCGGTATCGGGGCATCTCCTTTGTTTGAGATTACAACGGATTGCCAGTTGCTTATTTTAAGAAGTGAGAAAATGCCGACAACGCAATTTCGCGAGTCCTTGATTAGGGCAGCGGCACGGCGAACGCAGTCGCAAACAGTATGCGGAAAGTTCTCGATAATGTCTCAACTTTCTTTTCTCCCCACTCAGGCGATTTCCTCGCTCTATTTAGCTGCTCTGACGCTGAAGCAAAGCACTCGCACGCAGGCTACAGGTACGGTATCATGGTATCGCTTTGTTTGAGTTCAACAATGGAGAACAAGAGAGGATGTGAAACGCTAATTGCCTATTGTGCGATGCCAAAAAGAGACAAAGGCACAGGAATACATGATCGGCGAGAAAAGAAATGCTCGTCAAGTCGTGTCAGGGGGTCCGGTATATAAAGCAAAGCCATGTCCGTAAATTAGACTCATAATTTAGTCCAGATTTGACCCTGCATATCCTTCGACTGATGGCATCTGGTCACAGTCTTGGCTCATACTCCCTGCATGATTTTGGGAGAAGACAACCAGCAGCCTGACACCAATTATGCTCAGCTTTATTTGTCTGATGACTCGGCTCCTCCATCAACACACAGAGACGATCTATTGCTAATTGAGACAATGACTGAAAGCGGCTTAGTTGTCCTAAGTGGACTGATAGACTGATAGTTTGTAACTGAAAAAGAATGTGGGACACCAATCCGTAGACGATGATCTAACAGAGCACATCCCCGTTTCCTTGTGATCATTTTAAAAATCTATTCTAAACATCGCGTCCCATTGTGAAAGTTACTTTTAGTCTCGGTCCCATGATTGCGTAGAGAATGCACAACGGTCAGCGGGTCGCGTCCATATGAATTCGAAATTGAAAGTCTACCGCGTTAAGAGAAAAAAAACTCAGGTTGTTTTGAACTACTGCACTGTTTGCAATGCAGAATGTCTATCTGGAAATCATTTTCAAAGCGCTGGATAGGAAAATTATCTTCTATGTGCTGTTTACTTCGAAAATAAGTAGGGCTTTCCACAATTTTGCGGCATAACTTACGTTGCTAAATAACGTAGTCCTCAATTAAGCCCCCAAAATGTATGAGTAAGACCACACATAATATTAATATTAATTTTGCAAAAATTCTTCACCTGAGACACTCGATTCAGTCGAGTGTGGATCTTCGTCCGCCATTTTGAATTTTTAGAAAACCCCGCTGACCTAGCAGCCCGGCTGCATGCATCTTGTACCCATCATCTGCCCCAGGGAGNGGGGGATCTGGCTTCTTTTTCACAGGAAATTAATAAATTGTCTACTAAAACATTGTAAAATATGGAAGCAAGGCCAATTGAAGCACCAAACGCTGCTCCGATTTTTCAGAAATGATAGAAAACTAGAAATGGCTCAAAATGTAAAAAGTTGCTCGAAACGAAAAGTTGCTCGAAATACAAGGAAGTTGCCAAAACGTTGCCGAGCAGCTTGTGGAAAGCCCTAAAAATAAATCTTGCCATTCCTGTTCATGAGAATATGAGGCTCCATGGTTGCTGACAGGAATTGCATTCTAACACGGTCGAAATTGGTTTCCTGAAAAGTACTGAAAGGATTAAAGCGAAAAAGATCTCTTTGGAAAGCTCTTTCAAAGCGCCGGACAGTTAAAATTTTTCTTCCCCTTTCCTTACAGACTGCGCTCCGAAAATCGAGGTGCATTTTTTTTTTTTTTGCATATTTGATTAACAAAACCAAGCCTTAAATGATATTACGTCATGTATTAATTTGACCAATCTGGTGTCTTTCCTAAAATAGCCTCGCAGTATCACTACCCTCTAAAATTAGATTAAAAAGATTACCTTTTTTTACCCAAAAAAAGAGCTTTTATTTAATTTTAATGCTATTTTTAACACGACAATCCGTCAGTTAATTACCTTAGCTACTTTATAATATCGCCATGAGGGTCAAATCATCTTTCACAATTGCGTGTGGTGAAACTGTGTGTCACGCAATTCAAAATAGATCAGAATAAAAATTAAAACCGGTCAATAGATAAAGTCCAGAATCTGGGAAATGAAAGAAGGTAAATATGNCGGCCGGAAACCAACAGAAACATCTGTTGTATGAATATTAGTTTTCAGCCGCTCTTATACATCATTAAAGTAAAATCTCAGGAAGATCAATAGTTTTGAAGTTCGAATTTTAGTGACGTCATGTGAAAACCAGCTATATACTGAAACTACTTTTATTTACACTTTTCCTCAGTTTTAAGTTCACTGTATATTAAAAAAAATCTTTTTATTTTATGAATAGCTACCCGAAAGTACAAACGACCCCCTAATAGTTGCGCCGGACCCTCCGAAAGTAACCGTAGGCTCGTTACTTCCAAAAGTTATGGCTCACCGCAGAGACGTGACGCACAGTTTACTTCCTTCTTTGGCCATAATGCATAACCCATGCTGCAGCTGGTAACGGTCACGCAAAGTATTCAGTGTAGAGTTACAGCCATTCAGATTCTTCCCCTAACGCTATGCTTTCCAAGTATTCGAACCTTCGCTCCATTTTTTTCAAATGTTTGTCCTTTTGTTTTAAACTTTTCTCGAGTACAGTTGCTTTCGCCATCATGGAGTCCAATGTATGTGTCATTTCTTGTAGAATGCGCTCTCTATCGCAATGATTTAAAACTGTGTCTCTTTCAGTACATATTTTCTCTAAAGAAATGCTTGTATTTCGTCGGGGACCGCAACTTCGCTGACCCTTAACTTCCCAGAACGTCTTGTTTGTGTCTGGAGAAAGTTCTGCTTTCTCGTGATCGATGGCTGATAAGGCTTTTTCAGATACTTGGCTGTTGTTATTGATTCTGTCGTTATTTTCACAGTCGGACGTGTCTAGAACCACGCATCGGTCATTATCATTTGGCACGAACTGCTCGTTATCTTCTTCCTTCCTTTCCGGCGTACGAACATTACTCATTTCACTGACCAAATTCTTCACGAAAATTTCCTCCACATCTTCCTGACAAGCTAAGCGTCTAGCACTGTGAGATCGACGGACTTTCTTGAGAGATGCACTCTTAAGATGTCGCGTCGTTTCAGGTATCTTCAGCAGCTGTTGGTAATTCTTTATCACGCCATGCAAATACCTGACCATTTCTTTCTCCTCAGTCAGATTCGACTCCAGTTCATTGTGTTTACCTCGTAGCTTTTTGTTCTCAGTTCTAAGAGACTCCAGGTGATCATCCATATGTGAATAATTAACTGTTATATTCCAGACCACAGCGCGGCAAGCAGCAGCGATCGCCAGAGATACAAGTTTTACAGAGATGGCAGAATACGTGTTTGAAATTCGACACAGTCACGGAATTTCGATTTTTAAGTTATTCATTAACTCCTATCCACGTTGCGCGCGGCATAACAACGTAGGATTCCACTTCCCTTCCGTTCATCTCCTATCTCTCGTAGAATTTTTGCTCCCTTTATTCGCAAGGTTCACCGGCCGTCCCGCCTGTTCCCCTTCACTATTTTATTTTCTGGGAAGTTCTTTTTAAAAAAGAGGTCATTTTCGAGCTGCCTTTTGCCTCTGTGTCGAAAATAGTCTTCTTGCAAAACATTCTTATTAAAACGTGTTCCCCTACGGGTTCATTTGTTTTCATGCAAATCAAACTCATTTTCATACTTGCACGAAGACTCGTTTTGAGAGAGGCACAAGGGAACGCGGAAATGGCCCATTCTATTGCGTTTTCGCGCCAAGAAATTTCGACTCTCATTTCAACAATACGTCGATCTCACAGTGCTAGGAAATAATAGGCTTCTTAAGCCTTGGCCAAACGGAGTCACAAGTAGTCGCAAGTTGAAAACTTGGGTCTACTTACGACTCTGTTTGGCCAAGACTTGCGTGCACTTGCGATGATTTGCGCCCTCCTCGGTCGGGATCAAATTTGCACGCAAGTCGACGCAACTTTTTTCCCCGTTTGGCCACCCAAATCAAGTCAACGCAAGTTGAGTGACGTCCATTCGTTGTCAAAGCAACCTACTAGACAATAAAATACAGGATATAGTCTCTAAGCAAGTTCAACTTACGGCTACTAATGACCACTCGAGGCGTTTGGCCAGGGCTTTATAGATTCAAGAGTTGCCAACTGAACAACAACTAGGCAACATACTCAGTCATAAAATCAATTCTAAGATGAAGTCTGAAACAAACTAATATAAACAAATAATTTTCCATGTTTTTTTTTCGAAATGGCTTACTGATCGAGAAGGAAATTAACACATTGTCTTAGGGACCGTTCATTTTTTATAAGGTAGGGGGGGCTGGTGGGATTTG